AGCATCCATTTCTGTATTTGCATGATAAGAGACGTAAGAAAAATCAAAATATTCATAATGTTTCTAAATCTGTGAAAGCCATATTTATTGAAAGACTGGAAAAAGCTCCTAAAAGGTGCTTGATTGGCCAGTGATTTTTACGTTGTTCTTACCTGTTCTAGTTTTTCTGTGATGTTCATGACAGTACCATAATGCTAAAGTAACTTTCTAGCTTAGGCTCAATGACAAGCATATCTTTATTAATGAGATTTATAGTTATGTTTATCTCTTCACTTCCTCTGTCTTGTTTGTGTCATATTCTAATAGTTAGAGACTACTGGCAAATGTCTGCTGTGTCAGAAGGTTCCTGCTATAGGAAGTTCTGCTGGAGGATTACCAATAATAAATCATGCCGTTTTTTGGCAGTGTCTGTGCAACGTGAGATGTCCCTGATAAATTGTATTAGTTCATGAATGGCAATGCAGATAATTCCATAGTAGGTAATGTTTGTTCTCTCCCATGCTAGGCGTGACAGGCATTGAACTAAATCTTGCCTATCATGAAAGTTAACTAGCTTCATTTATTCTGAGGTTTAAAAAAAAAAAAGAAAAAGAACCAGATGATACGGAAGATTTCTGTAGTTACACTGAATAATTCTGAAGGCAGAGAGACCTGGCTATATTGCACTTCTCTGAGTGCTCTTAACTTTGTATGTGTAGCCCTTCCCTGTCAGCAGTCAGACACGTCTGTTGTGTACAATTAATCAGAGCAGCTGTACCAAATCCAACACACCCTGTAGGCACTGAATCATAGTCCTTGTACAGCTCTGCAGGCGCTGAATCACAGTCCTTGAGCAGATGAGTACACAGCACCACATGACAGATCCAGTTTCTTCCTAGAAGGTATGCATGTACAGTGCATGTGCACGTTTTTGTTTGCACCTCTTGCCAAGCTGAAGCTTGCTTCTGGGTTTGTGTTGCACAATACAAGCAACACTCCTAGATAATGAGCTTCTGAGGAGCTTGGGAGGCTCTGCCTGTTGTTGGGATGAACACTGGCTCATATGTAGTACTGCCTCTCCTCTGCTTGATAACATGGGTAATGGCTCTATGGGTTTCTCAAGAAGGCACGTTTCACCTATAGAGCAGCTAACTTGTCACGTGGCTTTAAAGCACTTTGCAGATGAGGTCCCTGATGTAAATTTGGAAACTGCAGAAGTTAGGCCCTTCAGGTTAAAGTCTAGTTATGCGTTATTAGTGCCGTTTATTCCTATTCTGTTACTCTTCAAATCCACGGACCTGGAACTTTTCTGAAAGTTTGTAAGCGGATGCAGTGCTGGTATTGATTATAGTCTTGCTGCACGTGCTTGCCTCCACTCACAAAGGTATGGGAAGTGGATGAAAAAGAGCTGTATGTCTCTCTTTGCACTCTAAGAAGCAAAGTTGCTATCTGTAGCTACCTAAGTATGTGCTGGGCTTGACTCTTCAATGTGAATTTTATTATTTGAAGCACCTTTCTTTCATATGTGTATTTAACCTTAGGTTTTTGACTGCATTTGCCCATAAAAAAAACTCTGTATCCTCAAAGCCGTTAATCTTGGAACAAGTATTTCTAGCCTTACAGGAGCAAAAAAACCAGGACCCAGTCTGTGAATTAGAGATTTTTTTCTACATACCTGCTAATTCTATTTCTATTCTATATATATTCTATATTCTATTTATATTTTATATATAGGGGATTCTATTAAATGAATCCCCTGTTGCAGCCTGTAGAACCTATATGTGACCATTCGAATCTTGGTGTTTCTCTTCTGCAGGAGAATATAGGAATTATTCTAAAGTACTCTTACTTCAAAGCAGCGTAGAATAATTGTACAACTCCTGTGTTGACTTAGGATATAGCATGTGCATCAAATGTAGGAAAGGTGTGTTAAAGCCTCTGATGATGGCTCCTCCAACTGTGTTTTCAACAAAGGTCTTTTACTTCATAGATACAGACAGAAGTTTTGGGAGGATGTGAGAGTGTAAGAACGACTTAAAGTTCATCAGATTTCCTGTGCAGCATAGGAGTCCACTTGCTTTTAATGTCTAGTGAGAAACGGATGTAAAAACTGAGACAGTCTATCAACAGCTTTCTGGGAGTGAGACTTCCTTCTCAAGGTTGCAAACAGAAGCACTGTGGTATCTTTTAAGCAAAACAAGAAAATTTAAATATTGAACCCTAAAAACATCATTCAGACCACCTGGGCTGAGAGCTTGGACTACTTAAACATCAGGTAGAGAAAGCTAGGTCTACTAAACATGGCTAAGAGCTTGAAGTAATGCCTGGTCTTCTGTAGACTAAATAATAATTTGTCTAAATCCAGATGATTAGGAAACGGGGGAAAAAAAAATAAAAGATACTCACCAGATATCCACATATAGGGCTTCAGAGTACCTTCTCTATCCCCTGCTACCTGCTTTCAGTAGTAAGAGTTTTAAATTGCACCTCGTGGAAAAGAAGAAGGCCCTTTTGCATAGTTGCCTGCTGATTGTAGCATGTGGGAAGTCTGACTGCGACCTGTTTGTGGAGTCCTGAAATCAGTGTTGGTGTGTGAGCCAGGCGGGTGCCTCGCTCAGCTGGGGTGCTCTGCAAATAGAGGTTGGAGGGGTGGATCCAGGAAAGGCTGAGCACAGCCTGGTGAGGAGGAATTTTTATGGCACAGGTAAGTCCTGGTTTTAAGTCTTAACTCACAGTAGATCTTTGTTTAATGGAAAACTGAAACTCTTCTTTGGAGCCTGGATGGGCAACTGCGGTCTTCTTGCTGTAAGCTTTAGTTAGGAAGAGTTCTCGTCGCTTGCTTGTGTATTTAATCATTGAGGTAGAGTCAGTAACAGTTGTGCTGGTCTGCTGGTTCATGTCATGTACAGAGTTTCTTTTAGTTTACGTCTTTAGAGAGTAGAAGAATTAAGGTCAGTCCTGTGTTCATCCCGTGGACTAATTCCTGGTTTCAGCAGAGTATTTTACTGGGTCCCCTGGCCAGGTCTGATAAAAATTGAAGAGCAAACATAATAATTGAGATCTGAATTATGAAGACATGACAGGTTTGCTTCAGAATGAAGAAATCTTCAAGGTTTTCTCATCCTATATGTCCTGCTATTTTGCCTTGTATCAAGAGTCATCCTTCCAACAGCAGTAGAAAAGATTATTTCTATGGTGGCATACAGAAAACATAACATGGCATAGGGTACAGTTACTGTGGGTCATCTGAGAGGGGATCTTACCAACACTGAGAGAATGGGGTAGGGCTCTTTTCAGTGGTGCCAGTGACAGGATGAGGGACTGCAGCCTCAAATTGAAGCACAAGAAGTTCCATGCAAACACGAGAAAGAACTTTGAGGGTGACAGAGCACTGGAACAAGCTGCCCAGAGAGCCTGTGGAGACTTCTGCTCTGGAGATATCTAAAACCTGCCTGAATGCTTTCCTGCCTAACTTACTGGAGAGAACTTGCTTTTAGCATTGGGATCTCCAGAGGTCCCTTCCAACCCCTATGATTCTGTGTGTCTTTGTGGTGTTCCAGTCTGTATAACTGAACCTTGCTGTGTTCATCTTGCTACTGAAACCTGTTTTGTAAGGAAGTTGGGGAGTGCTTCATCCCCACTCTGCCTGTCTTCTTCTGAGTAGGACACTAAGGAGTTGAGTTGCTCTGTGAGGCGTAACTGTTTTAAAGGAGAACAGTGAAATACTGCTGATGTTTGCTTGTTTTTTTTTTCTAGTTAAATAGTCTTATGTCAGAATGTTCAAATGATTATCAGTATAATTGTTCTTACAGTTCCACATTTCTTTGTGAAATAGAGAAACATGCTCATTGTATGGTTAGATGAAATTGATATTTACAGTTTCAATTGTATGTTGAGCTCGAGATCTGTTCTGTTTCTACTGCTGCATTTACTGTAAATCTTGGCACAAGTTCCTGAACTCCAAGACAGTGAGTGAATGAGGGCTTAAAGGTAAAGATCTGATTTCACAGAATCACAGAAACACCAAAAAGTAGGTTGGAAAAGACCTACAAGATCACCCAGTCCAACCATCCGCCTATCACCAGTAGTTCTCACTAAACCATGTCCCTCAACACAACATCCAAACGTTCCTTACGGATTTGAATCTTCTGAAGTGTGAGCAAACTCTTGGATCTTGAGCATATGCTGTTCCCCTGAATGGAGAGATGTGTTGTTATTCTGTTAAGATCCTCCAACTTCAAGTTGTTTTGGGAACTTGTATTTTAAAGGAAAGTGGATAAACCATGAAGCTCTGCTGAGCTCAAAATGTCATGTGAGGTATTTGAAAACAGAAAAATAGCACTAAGAGGAGAGAGAATCATAGAAAATGCTTACATTTAAAATCTTTTCAATGACTTTAGAGTAATTAACAGGAAAAGCTGATCAGGGTTCTGTGTAAATGTGGTAAATTACACCTCAATTAAAGCATTGTCTTGGATTGATAATGCTTGAAACCTGTGCCAAATGTTTGCTGTGGGAGCAATGGAAGGTGTTGTATGAGTGTCTTTTGTCTGCCTTCGCAACTTTATTAATTTGTGAAGATAAATTAATCTTCACCTACAATGTATTGCATCTTAGCACCATTGTTACTGACTGCATGATTTCTGGTTGAAGCTGTAACTACTGACATTTAGTATCTTTTCTTTTGATCTTACCCAGTTTCATTACTCTCCTGGAAGCAGAGAAGTGAGAACTCTTCAGCTGTGTAGAAGCAAACCACTGGGGACATTGTAATAGATCCCTGGCAGGCAATTCATAAATTTACAGGACAATTTCCTCTTCCAACTGTAAACTTTTGTTTTGGTGAAGTAAATTGGAAAGGAGAAAAAACAAGCAAACAAAAAACGCACAACTTTGTGTTATTTAAGTGACCAATAGAGTTCTCATGTTTTGTTTTCAGTTAAAGCTGTCTGTATGAATTCTAGCATGTAAAGATTTTCCTGCTTTTACAGGACTCAGTGTGTTGCTTTTTCTTTTTTTAGAGTCATCAGGATTGCAAAAGACCTCCAATATCATTAAGCCCAACTGTCCACCTACCACCGGTATGTCCCCACAAAACCATGTCCTGCAGTAAAGCATCCAGACACTTCTTGAGCACATCCAGGGACAGTGACTCTACCAGCTCCTTGGTGCTGGTTCAGCACCTCTCCACTTCCAGAGAAGAAATCTTTCCTAAAATTCAGCCTGAACCTCCCCTAGTGCAGCTTAAGGCCACTACCTCTCATCCTATTGCTTGTTAAGTGGGAGAAGAGGCTCACCAGACTCCCACCTTATCAGACCCTCCTTTCAGCCTGTCCTAGAGAGCTATAAGGTCTCCCCTGAGCCTTTTATTCTCCATATTAAACAATCCCAGCTCCTCCAGCTGTTCCCCACAAGACTTGTGCTCCAGACCCATCACCAGCTTTGTTGCCCTTCTCTGGACATGCTGTTGATGGGTTTTCAGGCCTGTTGAGATCCATGTTGGGGAGGATGCATCATCCCAAATCTCCGTTGCTGTCTCCTGTGCTTTCTACATTTGGGCCTAAGCAAATTTAGACTCAGATGTGTGCAGCACAGTGATTCTGGATGTGATTAATGTGCAATACATGTACAATAGCACTGGGTATATAGGTTAATGCCAGCTGCTGTTATTCCTAAACATAGTTTAGACAAAGCTTTTTAGTTACAATTACTTGACTGCATTAAGCTGTGAAACTTACTTTTCTATGGGTTCTTGAATGTGCTGCATAAGCTGCTAATCACAGAAATGGCAGCTCAAGCTATTGCAGGTTGTCAGCTCAGTAGTGTCATGAGCATCCAACCAGAGCAAGGCAGAGAACTGGAGCACATGTGATTGCGTCGGCAGCTCTCAGCTTATGCAGAATTGAAGGAAATACTTGGACTTCACCTTTCCTCTGTTCCTGAGCCGTCCCTGCTACCTGCTTGTGAGCACTTGGAGCCTGCTCTGACACAGAGTGTGCTTGATCTGTGACTCCTGCATTAATAGTAGCAAAGACTGGAAAAACTTGTAGGGATAACATGAAATCTCTGCCTAGAAACTGCTCTGTCTGGCAGTAAGAGTTGTTTTTCCATAGTATTTCAGCAAACTATCTTGCGTAGGGAACTCTTGAGTTTTTTTCAGTAAGATGTTAGCCTCTGCATGCTGTTGCTTGTTTTCCCCTGAGAATGCTGCCTTAATCTCAGAAGTGTTGTCCCTTATAGCTCAGCTAAGAGCAACATCTTGGAGGCTAAGGAAGCTGTGGCTGAGTGTGTGCCTGTTGAAACACGTACACCAGAGAAAAACAAACATGGTCCAACTCACGGAAGGCTCTTTGCATCTTAGTGGTTGTTTTTCTTGAGCGTGAATTTTGAATGGGAAACAAGATTGAGTCAGGTGCTGTACTGCAGAATTAAATTCCATCTTCTCCTTAGGTGACAAAACAAATGAAGTAAGGGATGATCACTGTAATGGATAGGTGAGGTCTCCCTAATTTAGGCTTATGCTCTGTGTCCTTTTGGATTCATCATTACGAAGCTGTGCCAACACAGCATGTGAAAGTAAGCAGGAATGTCTTCTGAGAGTGAGCAAATTCTTCTGTTGTTTGCTAGCTATGCTAATCAGCTCGTCAAAGAAACAGTGTTAATTTAGTTCTTTGTTAATTTAGACTTTGGTGAAATAAAGAAAATTAATTTTTGAATCAACACTGAAAAGCTAGGATGGTAACTGCTTAATTCTCCTGCGTTGTTGTTTATATCACAGTTATGAGCTCTTAACAGGTTATATCAACTGAAACACAACACAAGTGAAGGATTGTTACATTGAAAACTGGAGATTTTTTTTCCATGTTTTTGTAGGGACCAGACATCTGTAGCTCTGTGTATGCCCCCACGTCAGCCCCTGTTGTGCTGTGTGTTGTTGCACAGCTGCTGGAGGCACACACACCCTCAGCAGTGCCTTTCCTCACATGACACCAGACATTATTTGTCCAGCCCCAGCAGATCACATAGCTCCTATGGAAGCAGATGTTTCCATGAGCTGTCTGCTCTGCAGTACCTGTTGGTTTTCTGCCATTTCCCACCCAGGCTTGCTCTTGAGCTCCAGCTCCTGGCACTTTTTTCCCTTCTTGCTGAAGGGGTCAGCATGCAGGCATGGCTCATCAGGGAGAGACTACGGTGTAGAAGATGCTGAGCAAGAGGGCAACACTGCTGGGCTGTGCAGGGAAAGCATGGGGTTGGGGAACAGGAGGGTCTCTGTGCAGCTTTGTATGTAGCTTTTGTTAAAACAAAATTCAGCACATTTACCTGCTGCTTCAGGTAAAAGTGAAGTTTGAATGGATGAAACTGGAAATGTGCTGAATTGTAAGTTCATGCAGTGGAAGTGTAACAAATATTTGGTCTAGTAAAATAATCAGTCACACTTGAGAAAACCTATTCTCTGCTACTGAATAAGAAACTTTTTTTCTACTAGGCTCTAGCAAGATAGAAAGATCCTAGTATTTGAGTGCAGGAGGAAATTATACATGTGCAATTATACGTAGGTGATCATTCAGCCATGAGAGCTTTGAGTTGCAGTTGTAAGGCAGGGACCTGTGCTGCTCTGCTCAGTGATATACAAAGCAGCATGTGAGTATAAGGCCTTATGGCTTCCGTACAGGGGTTTGGAACTGAATTGTCAGGAATGGTGACTTTATAGAGCACTTTGGGAGGAGGAGGAACTATGATTTAGAGAGAATCATTGGAATTGCTTGGAAGAGACCTTACAGCTTATCTATTTCCCTCCCCGGAATAGGGCAGTTAGAACAGTTGTTGAAACAGATCCTGCGCTTTGACATAGTGAGGAAGGTGTCCTGGATATATTTTTAGATTTCTTTCCTCAAGAGGCTGAATGAGTACTTCGTACAGCAACACTTGCAGGGAGAACAAAAACATTAAGTTCTGAGGCACCTGTTCATTTTGCCATTGACACAAATTGGCAAAAGTTATCATTGATTGACATTACTCCTTTTTTTTTTTTTTTAACATTTGAACTGTCTGTTGCAGCAGACTTGCTGCAGGATGGGAGTAAGATCATTTGACTTATCAGTTACATTTTGCATAATGGTCTCTTGATCTTTGGAATGCTTGTCTTCTGCTAATGGTGCTGTTGGGGATACAGGATTCTTCTGTGGGAAAAGGGGAGGAACTCTTGATAATAGTTTTCCAAAAACTAAAATCATCCCAGAGCCTCCACGTTGCAGGGATCTTCCTATTCCCTCACTCATTCTCAAGCAGGGGAAAATTGGTAGGACTGTGTTTTATTTGATTGGGAATTTCACTGCAAAGCAGCGTATTTTTGTGCTAAATGCTCATTAATCAGGATTATGTAACCTCAAGGAGCTGTTGGTAGCTGAAGTAGTACAAATGAACATTGAGTATTTTGTGCCTCTTCAGCTGGATCTGCAGAAGTCATTGACACGACAGGAATTCTGTATTTCTAAACCAGATCTCTAAAAACAATTTGTAAACTAATTTCTAAAAACAGATGCACTGCAGAATGAGGTTGGTTTTGCGAAGTATGAAATAGGAGAGTTGTTCCTTTTAAAAAAAAAAAAAAAAAAAAAAGACCCAATGTGAAATATTGATAAGGTGGATTCTGGTAACAGGAGCAGTGCCTGCGGTAGGAGCTAAAGTGGGTTTTCTGGGGGCAGGTGAAGTGAAAACACTTAAACGTTTACAGTTGCTGAAAACCCTGAAATGGAAGAAGCCTTCCAGATCCCAGATGGAATAAACTTATGTAATACAACAGTGGTAAGGTGTTCACTTTAGCTAGTTACTGCAGCCAGTTACTGCAGTATAAAAAGGAAGATGTTTCTATAAACCTATTCCAAATGAACCAAAAGATGCTTGCAGTAGATCTCAATGGAAAATTACCACAGGGAAATGCTTTTCTGTTGTACTATCCAAGACTAAATTTCTAAGCCAAAAGCTTTACTTACATATCTTACTTCAAAATTACATTAAGTTCCAAAGGGTAAATGCTGTCATTGACCATTTTTGTCTTGAACTGTTGGAAACTGTACTCATGAACCATCTTTCTCTATGTGCAGTATATGGTAGTGTATATAAACTGAGACCTCCTTCTCTCTGCTGCAACTAAACGCAAGTTGGCTCAGTAATGCTGAGATGTAATGCTCTATTTCTGACGCTTATGATCACAGCTAATTGCCTTGCTGACTCACAGAAGAGTTTGTCAGGATGCCTCTTTATTTCCTTGCGCTGTCAGTTCCATAAAATTACAAGTACTTTGTTTTATTTGGATTCCTAAAGAACAGCATTTGTTCCTTGGCATTACAGGATTAACACTGATTTACCTCCTGCACTGATTGATGTAATTCAAGTGCTGTGTATTGTTTAGTTTTAATGGTATTCTCCTGTTTGTTCAGATTCTGAAGACAAGCTGCTGCATCGGTAACCTGGGGAAGAGGAGTTCTCTGTTAAGACTGCAAGAAGATACTACCAACTGGTAAACCATTTTTTTTTAGATGTCTGCTTGTCAATTGTGTCTGTTTTCTGTAATGTTCCAGGACAAGAAGTACAGATTACTTTGATGTATTGAAAGTAGAAAGTAGTCCATGCAGTAGTTCTTCTGTGCTTAGCAGTAGCGTACCAGACAAAAGGCACAATATTGGCTGGACAGCATGCAGATATTTAAATAGAATACACTGTGACTCAATTCCTGCTCTCTCTGTAGTAGAGGAAAAAGAGGAGTCTTTACCTGTGGTGGAATGTTAAACATTGTTTTTTTTTGCTTTTTCCATTGAGATTAATGCGTGTCTGAACCTTTTTACTGTACCAGAGCTATTTACTTGAAGTAATGGTGCAAACACTGAAACTTCAACTGTTATTCTCCAGAGCTTTGCGGGAGAGAAAAAAGAAGACTTTAAAGAAAGCTGATTTAGGAGCTGAATATGCTAAGCATGCTAATTAAAATTTCCAGGTGCTTTAGAAAATGTCATTAGTGCTCTTTAAATTATTCGAAGGATGTTCAGTGAGGCATCACTTTTGCTGGAAACAATACATGATAATGTAACTGAAGATGTACCCTAATTCACAGGCATTTAAAGCTACATGTAGGTTACCTGTGGTTCAGAACAGTGAAAGAATTGTTGGTGAAGAACTATAACCTCTTGCTAACAGTTTATCATTCTGTAAGTTGAGGGGTTGAGCCACGTTGTTACAAGCCAGTCACAAAGAAACGGGAGAATTTAGGATATCTGGCTTAACATAGCTATACCATGTATGTATCCTTGGGTGGTGCTAGGTCTGCATCTCACTTCTCAAATACTGAATGAAGTCTTTAGCATGGGTGGAAAATATCCACGAGATGTAAACTAAACCTGCATTCAATTTTGATCCAGCTACCCCTTCCCATATACCTTTTATCCAAGTTTAAGCCTACTTTTTGAGGTATAGGGCTAAGTAAACCAGGAGACAGTTCTTATCTCAGCATGGGCAGATGGATCCAAGGACAAATTGTGAAAAGAAGCAGTATATTAGCCAGTAAGGAAACAGTAAGCTTTTATGACCCAAATACTTAACAGATGCTTTATTAAGTTTTCCATATGAGTTAATTTACCTAAATTTTATTAACAATTGAGGCTAATAAGAAGTTGTATTGTGTAGTTTGTGCTAATAACCAAAGTTGACTGAACGTATTTCATTCTGTTGCTCTACTAATCTTACATGCCTTTAAAAGTTTGGTATTATTAATGCATATCCATCTGGTGGAAACGACAGTGAAAACATTTGACTTCATGTAATTCTTTTTTTGTATAAAGATGGTTTGCACGTTACAGCTATTTGTGAGCTATACTTTGAACTTTCGTGCCTAGCTCTGTGTTTAAATAAAAAAATAGACTCTAAAACGTGTATGAAACTTCTTCCCATACTCCCAGTTTAAAGCTTTGTCCCTTCAGTTTATCACAGAAGGTACCTGCAGTTGTAGCAGTCACAGCTTGAGATACTGAAACACTGTATTCTTACCACCAGTTTTGAACAGCACTGTTATTATTATCAGATTATAATCATTAAGCCAGCAGTGCTTTCTTGCAGCCAGGAAAGCCAGCTGTGTCCTGGGCTGCATCAAAAGAAGGATGGCCATAAGCAAGGTGAGGAGGTGTCTGTCTTGCTCTGCTTTGCCCTCATGAGGCCCCACTTGGAGTACTGTGTCCAGGCCAGGGACCCCCATTACAGGAAGGATGTGGAGCTGTTGCAACAGGTCCAGAAGAGGGCCATGCAGATAATCAGAGTGCTGGGCATTTCTAGGAACAAAGGTAGAGTGAACTGATTTTGTTCAGCCTGTAGAAGAGAAGACTCTGGGGAGACCTCATTGTGGCCTTTCCAATGCTGTAAAAGGAGCTTATAATCACGAGGAGACCGACTCCTTACATGGACAGATAGCACTGGGGCAAGCAGAAATAGTTTTAAACTAAAAGAGAGGAGCTTTTTGTTAGATTTTGGGGGGAAATTTTTACCAAAAGAGTGGTGAGGCATTGGAGCAAGTTTTTCGGACAGACGGTGCATGCCTCATCCCTAGAGGCATTCAAGGCCAGCTTGGGTGGGATCCTGGGTAGCCTGGTCTGGTGGCTGGCATCCTTGCTTACAGCTTGTCAGTGATCTTTAAGGTCCTTTCCAACCTAAGCCATTCTGTGGTATGAACGAATTGCGCATGTCTACGTAAATTTGAGTGTACAGCTCGGCATATACAGAGAACTGAAAAGCTCATTGGCCTAGCAGTGAAGGAATTGCTGGGGGCCAGCTGTCCATTTTCTCACTTCTGCTTCCCTTCCCACACCGTCACTCCCATCCCTTACCAAGAGAACTTAAAACGGTTGAGTGAAACTGAGTAGTTCCAGAATTGAGCTCTTTGTCTGCAGTTGTGGTAGAATAGTCGTCTGCCTTCAGTATTTATGGACCTTTAAGACCAGGCAGGATTTATTAGCTCAGAGGTAGTGTGTTTAAACTTGATTTCGCTGTTTCCAGCATTAGTTTTAGTCTGGGAGAACAGCAGGTGAGACGTGCTGAGCTGTAGCACATTTTAGACCTGACCCAGTTCTCAGCTCAGCCCCCATCTCTGGGAATATGCTGAAGAGAGAATGGGATTTATGAAAACCACGTTGCTTGGGGAAGAGTGCCTTTATCTTGCTGGATCTTGGTGCTGAGAAAGCTGCAGCTGACTGAATATTTTGTAGTGTGGGGCAGACCGAGTGTCCCTATGAGATGCACATGAGCCTATTTTATCCAGATATTGTTCTAGATACACATGTTCTTTTGGCTATGTTTCAGAAGTCCATTATCACAGACTCTAAAGACATCTAACATTTTAGTGGTTGCCTTATGTTTCTGGTGGTAATTTTTTCAGAATGTTACCTTATAAAGGATTATTTTTTGAGCGCCAATCACTCATACAAATCTTGATATCTATCTCCTACTTCTGAGTGTAACCTCTGATAATTATTCATTCTTAATTTATAGCTGCATTCTCTCACCTGCAGCTTGAATTTGTTTACATGCTTGAAAATATCAAAATCATTCTGTGCAACTTAGAATGGTTCCCCTGTAATTATGGTGGAATGACAATGGGGAGGTGTTTCAAGTAAAGTGTTCAGTGTGTTGTGGTGTCTGCCCCAGCACTGATATTGCACTGTTTGTGGATTAACAGGTTCTGCATTTATGTTAATTTTAATCAATTTGGAAACACCTTCAGTATTTTGTTTGCAAAGTGGAAGCAAATACCTATGTGTCACCTTAGTATTAATTTTGAGAACACTTTGTTGTGGCTTGAATAGCTCTTACAAGAGTAGCATTTATCTGGCTGACATAATTTCATATGTTCTGCTTGCTTGGGGGTACAGTCTTTAAAATTCCTTCAGTAATTATTTCTGCTGTTAAGTGTAAATCCCTTGATATCATAGAATCATACATAGGTGTTGTAAGGGACTTTGGAGATTGAGCATCTCCCCCTGCTGAATGCAGGTTCTCTACAGTAGGTAGAGCAGGAAAGCACTAGACTTGAACAGGGGAAGTTTTTCTGACTGTCCCAATACCTGTGTGCCTACGAAAGGTTAGTAGTGAGGGATGTGATCCAGAATATGGATTTTTCTTGAATTAGGCTGTAGTGTTATAGACTTCTGCGTGTCTTTGACTGTCAGGAAGTTTATGCAAAACTTAATGTACTGCTGGAGGTAGAAAGCAATGTTCTGTTCTGTTTTGGTCAGTGCCAAATGTTTCCTCTACTAAACAAGGAAATAAGTGTTTAAAAAAAAAAACCAACCCCCCCCCCAAAAAAAAAAACCAAAACCTGGAGCTCTTAATGTGTTCTTTCAGAAAGTTTTCCATTTGGGACAGCCTCATGTAATGAATTTAGAGATAGTGGAACTACAAGTGCTACAAGCAAGAAAAGCTTTCACTGCAGAACTACCAGATAGCAGCAGTAGGACAGGGTGAGAACCACCAGGATGACAGACTGATCCATCACAATGAGGTCATACACTGTAAATACAGAAAGAAAAATGAATGTCTTTCTGACAACTGAAACCACCTTTACTTCCCATTTGAGCCACAAGTTGAAAAAAAAGAATAAAATCTGTTGGTAGTGTTGCTCTGAATATACTGTGGTAGGTTTGCTTACAAATTGCAGTTCAGATGAGCTCAAATTGATTTGTTGTCTGTGTGATAGTGGGTTTGTTGAAGTTTTACCAAGAAAATGATGGTGAGTTAACACGTCTTTTCTGGTATTGCTTACTTAGAAAATATTTCGAATAGAATAATCAGGAATTCTACCATGTTTTACCAGCGTGCATTTATTTTGTGTTACTGCTGCTGTCTGAAGCAAGAAAGAGGAATGGCTGACAGCCTTTTGGTCTAACTGAGCTGTCTCCTGTTTATTTGCTGGGTTTTATCATAGGCCTTGTTTCATGTGGCTTAATATGGCTGGTTCCAATAGCATGGGAATAGATTGAAGGCTTAAATCTTCTGTGCAATCCTGTTGTTAAAGTCTTAACAGGTACCCATCAGTAATGAATATTAATAGTCTGCCTTGCTGATGCAGCGTAACATGGTATCTTTTCTCTCACAGCAGACATAGAATTATTTAAAACCTTGAATGAAGGTAGTAATAACCTGCAAATGATCAGTGACAGGGTTTTGACTCATCAACCGTAGAGCTGTTCCAGAATACTCTATGTAGCAGTCATGCTTCATCACTTAGTCGAGTAAGTTGAAAAAGAGGTGAGTTTTGAATCTGATTTGAAGTCTTGTAGCAGGCCCCATGTTCTGCTGGAGCCTCGAGCTGTGCTGTTTTGTTTATGTAGGAAAAGCTGCTCTTTTTCTTCACCTGTAAATAATTGCTCAGGACAACACCAACTGTTTGGTTCTGTTTGTTCAATGAACTTTCAAATCAAAGTCATTAATTTAAGGGTTGTTTTGACTTCTCAAAAAGTCACTTTTAAACAGACCTGCAAA